TATCCCCCCCTTTCGCCCGACCCGATAAATGCTTCCTGGGGTTAGCTGGGCGCGTACGTCCTTTGTGGGCTCCCTCTCCCGCAGCTGCGCCCTGCCAGGAGCGTGCCGAGGTGGACCGGACTGCCCCGCACGGTCGCCGGAGAGCCGACCTATAAGACGACTTTTTTAGGACCCCAGAAACCAGGTGGCGTCCTTGAGGGCTCCTCCTCCTCCTCCTCCTCCTCCTCCTCCTCCTCCTCCTCCTCCTCCTCCCTCCTCCCTCCTCCCTACTCCCTCCTCCCTCCTCCCCCCTGCCTCCTCCCTCCTGGCCTTTTCAGAAGACCCAGACGTTCCCAGGCCTTCCTATGACCCAAAAACCATGTGGCGTCCTCGAGGGCGCGGGCCTTTTCAAACGACGCGAAGATCGGGACATAATCGGATCGGGATAACTCGAAATCTCTGAGAGTCGGCGGGTTTGGCGGACGTATTGGGCGCCGCGGCCGCCCCAGAGCGTTCCGGAGTCCGGAATGCTCTGGAGCGGTTTATCCCGATCCTAGCCCTGTTTTACCTTTTCAGAAGACCCAGACGTTCCTAGGCCTTCCGAAAAGTTTTCTAAGCCTTGCCCGAAGGCACAGAAGACTTCTCAGAATGCCGGAGGGCGACTGGGAGGCCCCACTGCCTTCTGAGAGGGCCTCCTCCTCACTTCCTTTTCTCGCTCGCCGCCGGGTTCTGCCGCGGTGCTGTTTTGCCTTGTGGTGCCGTTAGGCGAATCCAAAAAACTTGAAGCCAAAAACGGCTGCGACGAAATCGTTATCCTGTCCTCCTCCTCCTCCTCCTCCTCCTCCTCCTCCTCCTCCTCCTCCTCCCCCTCCTCCCATTCTTGGTTCTAGCCCACTGTTGGTTTTGGCCGGCAGGACGGCCGGGCAGGTTCGGGGTTCTGGGTGCGGGCAGTTTTTGGTTGGCTTGCCCTCTTCAGCCGCTGGGGGCCGCTTCAGGGCCCCGTGGCCGTGAAAAACGGAGCCAGGGGTGACAAATGGCACCTGATGGGCCCCTGGATGGGGTTTGTGGACAGATTTTGAACGGATTTGGCCTCGTCCCCCTTGACGGACTTCTTGGGGTCCCAGCCAGTTCAGACCCTGGGCCGCCTTCAACGCCAGGCGCGCGGTTTGCAACTGGCGCCGTGGGGGCTCGCTGGGAGTCACCACCCCGCGCCCGGGGTCTGACGAGCCCCCGGCGGGGCGTGGCGGAGATCTCTGTGCGGGTCCTCGCCTGCTCCCGTGGGCGCGGGTCGCAAACCACGCCCCTTGCAAACCACGCCTGGTTCGGAGTCGCCGACGGACACCCTCGCGCGGTGAGCGCAAATCACCACGTAAAAGGGCCGCGCGAGAGCTCCTCCTCCTCCTCCTCCTCCTCCCCAACCCACCCCCCCCCTCCCCCCCCCCCTACCCTCCCTTTTTTTTTTTTTTTTCATTTTCCTAATCCTCATCACTCCTCATCTCCTTCCTCCTTCCTCTCCTCCTCACTCCTCCTCCTCACCTGACCCTCCCCAACCCTCCTCCTCCTCCTGTTGAAGGTTGACTCCCGCGCTCACTGGCTCGCGCTGCTGGGTCTGTGGCAGGGACAGATCATGCTATTCTCCATGGAGGAAGGGCCGCGCGAAGGCCGCGAAGGCCCCTAGTCTACCGACACTATGCTCCATACTTGCGCGTCTGATGGCATCGCTGGGAAGCGTGCGTTATCTTGTCCTCGGCTTCACTCTATCCCTAGGAGGACCGTTCGAGGAGCCATTCCTGGAGGCGGTTCTCCGAAGGCGTTGGCGACCCGTCCCTCCTACTAGTTCTCTCGCTCCTCACTCCTCCTCCTGCCTCCTCCTGCCGCCTCCTCCTCAGTTACTCATGCCCTCCTCCTTCTCCCTCCTCCATCGACTCCTCATCACCATCCTACCATCATCCTCCTCATCCTACTCCTTCCCTCCTCCTACTCCTCACCCTACCCCTCCACCCTCTCCCCCTCTCCCCTCCCCCCTCCCCTCCCCCTCCTCCTCCCCTCCTCGGGTCTCCTACTGCCCCGGTGGAAACCGTCCAGAGCATCCTGGATCCTCGGGGGAAGCAGACGCCAACAAAACCGGACAAGGCACGCGGCACGAGGAGCGGATGCCCGAAGGATGGCGAGTCGTGGGGTCGGGAGCAGGAAGAGCTGCTCCTCTCCGCGAGGGCGCGCGAGAGCGCAGAAGGAGAGCCGCGCCACTTCGCGCTGCGTGATCTGGGCAGGGTGGGTTGCTCTGCGGGGACAGCAAGCGACCACAACAGCATGAGAGAGAGAGAGAGAGCGAGTGAGGAAGCCGTGCACATCTCAGGTGCGTTGGCATCGAATTGGGTGAAACGCGTCGTGCTGTCGCCCCTGGAAACTGTGGCACCGACCGGTTTGCAACGGCGATAAAGACTGAGGCCGCCTCGCCAGAAGGTAAGGGGAGAAGGAGAAGGAGGAAGGGAGAGGGAGGGGGAGAAGACATTACAACTGC